ATGGTGTTGGAAAGTGGGGCATGTACAGGGAGAATAGGCTTAATACCCTTAGAGAAGTGGCCCAAGAGAACTTGTTTATCTCTGTGTGTGAGCACTCAACAACAAGGCACCATCTATGAACAAGACCTCACCAAACACCAAATCTGCTGCGGTCTTGACTGTAAGAAATAAATTTCTGTTGTTTATAAATTATCCAGTCTATGGTGTTTTGTTATAATATCTGTTGGTTATAAATTATGAGATCTAAGGTATCTTATTATAGCAGTCCAAATGGACTAAGATAGCGACCATCATAAGCCCCCAGAAAAATTACTGTTTTACATTTTATAAGATGGAGAACAATTCTCAACTAACCTAACCTTGGAAGACTTCACCCTCACGATCAGGTTAGCACTAATTGCCTCAGGAGGCAACTCACTGTAATAGGGGCAATTCATTAGCCCCACCTGTATACTTTCATGCAACTTGGGGATGAGCCTCTCTGTGAGCTGCCTACAGGCCCCCACCAAGTCTTTGCATTAGGCAAGCCAGTTTAGGGAAGGCTGATAACCAATGACCTCCGTGTCACTGCACTAAGCTGAGTTATTTCACTTTAAAAAAGCATCTTAATGCCACTTTTTCTAAGCCAGTAAGAATTATTATGATATGTGAATTCCAGTCTTTTTTTAATTGATTACATTTTGATTTAATCATTTCTAAAGAGCTGTTTCTAAAAGTTCATGGAACTTATAAATACAATGAATGGGAAATGTACTATTTAACAGAATTAAATATATTTAACTTTGTTAGTTAACAAGGTCAGTTAACTTTTGAACAATAGATTGGTAGTAGCACCTTTTATCAACCTTCCCTGCAACCCATTTTACAGGACTAAAAAGAACTGTAGTTAAAATACTGTTATTAATTTAATAAATACCTCTGGAAACTACAAGGTGTATAAGGGGCCATGCACACCTTGATGGTTGAATGCAAAAGCTTATATTAAAACTCTAGGCATAGTGAAAAAGAAACTGTCAAAATATTTTGGCATAACAAAAAACATATTAATGCCACCAAATTGCACATTTAAGTTAAAATGACCAATTGTTATATGTACTTTACCAAAAACCTAAACTAATGCAATATGCCAAAACCATTAAATTATGCACTTTTATTGGATGAATTGTATCTTAATAAATGTTTAAAAAGAATTCAGAAAAGTGTACAATTTGGTCTTAAAATTGGAACATGGAACAGTTTCTTCCATGGAAAAGGGCACAGACCTGCTCAGTGGGACCCTAGGAACAAAGCTAAGATCTCCAAAGCATAAATTACGGAAAGCAATTTGCACTCAAAACAAGGAAGAAACAACAACCAAAGCTGTCCAAAATCCTCAGGTGTCCCCTCACAAAGTACCTCACTGGAGGTACTTTAGCAAAGGCAGATATTCATTCACATGGCCCAAAAGGGCCCATACACACCTTAATGGTGGAATGCAAAAGCATCTCATGTCTTTTTCTCAGGTAAGAGTCCTTTACCTTATGCTATTTGCAACAGGGACAATGGGGCTGGCCGAGTTGCTCAAGTGGTAGAGGAGCGCCTGCCTAGCAAGCATGAGGCCCCGAGTTTAAACCCTTAGTACTGCCAAAAAAAAAAAAAAAAAAGGTGGTGGGGGGAACAATGACCTCGAAAAGGTCAAAAGTTACTAGTACTTATGGAATTCCAGCATTTCAAGGGAGATTGCACTAGATCTGAAATCTTCCAAATCTGACAATGTAAGCCCCAGTGGGCCATACTTTCCTTAGCGTAATGAAAACAGCACTCAACTACATATGGTACATATGGACAGAAATGACATATCCACTAATCAGTTTCATTTTCCTCCAGCTCCAGGCAACCAATTTGCTCTTTTTCTCTTTGGATTGACCTAATCTGGCCATTTCATATAAATGGAACCATGCAACATATGACCTTTTGCGTCTGGCTTCTTTCACTTAGCATAATGTCTGAGGTTCATCCACGTTTAGCACGTATTGGTACTTCATTTCTTTTTATGACAGAATAATATTCTATACACCTAGGAATGAAACTGCTGGGTGATATCATAATTCTGTTTGTCACTTATTGTAGTTTTGATTTCAATTTCCCTAATAACTAATGATGTTGAGTCATTTCTATCTCTTTGGAGAAACATATACTCAAGTCCTTTGCCCGTTTTGTAACTGGGTTGTCTTTTCCTCGTTGAATTTAGGATTTCTTTATATATTTTGGGTGCTAGACCCTTATCAAGTTGTACTATTTGCAAATAATCTTTTTAATTTTCTCCATTTTCTTGATAGTCTTTTGGTATACAAAAGTTTAACTGTGATAATATTTTTTTTTTTTTGCAAAGCAGGCACTCTACCACATGAGTCCTATTTTTCCTTTCATGGCAAGTTTTTGGTTTATATCTAAGAATCTGTTGCCAAATCCCACGATGACTCACTTCTATGCTTTCTTCTAAGAGTTTAATGGCTTTAGCTCTTATATTTAGGTCATTTATTTAAATATAGGTCATTCTGATTTCATTTCTGTATGTGAAGAAAGACATCTATTCTGATATCATGCCCAAATCAAACTTTAACAGCCCTCCATCAAGCCTGCTCTTCTAGTTTTTCCTATCTTAGCAAAGGCTCAGGTTAAAAATCTCAGGAGCTATTCTTGACTCCTCTTTTTCTCTTACATCTAAACCCTTAGCAAATCCTGTTGGCTTCACCTTCGAACCTTACCTCAAAAGCAACAATTTGCCAGCCCCACTCCCCCCAATCTGTATTATTGCACTAGCATTTAATTGGTCTTCCTGCTTTCACCTTTTCTTCCCTGCATTTAACAACCAACCAGTGATGCTGTTAAAATACAAGTCTCTACTCTAAACCTTCCTTTCTCACTCAGAATAAATGCCAGTGTTTCCCATGGACTACAATTTCCTATAAAATCTGTCTCTCCCCATTACAAATGCTTTCTAGTCTCATCAAGCATGGCCTGCCTTGCTCTTACTGTGTCCTGAGTCCAGAATGCTCTTCCCCAAGATATATTCATGCCTGGCCACCTCATCTACTTCAACTTTGTTCAAATTCACCTAAGTGAGGACTTTCTGCTCACCCCATTTTCAAGAGCAATTATGACTCCCCTGCTACCATTACTCTCTCCAACTTCTATTTTTCTCCATGGTATTTATCACTGACACACTGCTGTACATATCTTAACTTGTCTATTTCCTCTTACTAGAGTGTCATCCCTAAAAGTAAAGACTTTTTTTCCCTCCGAAGCTGGGGTTTGAACTCAGGACCTTCTGCTTTCTAAGACAGGTGCTCTACCACTTGAGCCAGGACCCCAGCTCTACTTTGCGAATAGGGTCTCAAAACTGTGCTTGACTGGCCTGGACCACAATCTTCCTACTATGCTTCTTGTGTGGCTGGGTTGACAAGGGACGCGCCACCACACACGGTTTTTATTGACTGAGATGGGACTCCAGAACTTTTTGCCTGGAGCTGGCCTCCAATCTCCATCTTCCCGATCTCCATCTCCGTACTAACTAGGACTACAGGCGTGAGCCACCGTGCAGGGTTACGTAGGGACTCTCATTTGTTCGTCTGCACCACTCCTGCCCCTGCTCAGACCAATGTCTAGCAGAGTTACAACAGGCCTTCAATAAATGTGTGTTGAATAAGTGTCATGTTACACTATAATCGCCGGTCGATATATTTGCCTCCCCCCATGGATTATGAGCTTTCTGCTGGCCGTGACAGTCTTATTTACCTGACTTCAGTAATCCCCACATAGTAGGCATTGATTTTTAAATGAATCAACAAGAGAGGCCTTTCACACACAGCCCTTCACTGCCTAAATACAAGTCGGCGCGCGGATTACGTCAAGGAAGCAATTTCACACCAATTCCCACGCCCTCACGTGTATCGCCCACTCCCGTCATCCTCGCAATAACCAAAGGAGATGAGTAACGGTCAGAGCGTGAACTCGAACACTGCAGCGACAAGTCCGAAGGCGACAGTAACTGTGACCTGACTTGAGATCAAAGAAGGCGGCCCGACTCCAAGCAAAAACACTGTCCTGGGGCAGAAGGGTGGCAGGGGGAGAGGGCAGGGCCCGCCAAGCCCCTCCTTGACAGCTAAGGAAGCCCAGAAAGGAAAGCGGCTAGCCCGAGGCCACACAGCGAATCGACCAAGGAAGGCAGCGTGGCGTGTCGGGTGATGCCCTGGACGCCGAGCTCCAGCGGACGCACGTGCGCGGAGGTCCCCCGCCGTCCCCCGACCCGAAGCCAGCAGCGCGCACAGCGCAGTGGGCCCGGCAGCCGGCGCCACACCGCGCTTACCTGGCCGGGTCCCGCGGGAACCTGAAGAAGGCCAGGTCTGACTGCGTGCTCTTCCGCGTGCAGTTGGGGGCCGCGCAGAAGTTCGGCATCGTTGCCCACCCGCCGGCCGGCCCAGCCTTCCCCTCCCTGCCTCCTCAGGGCAGTCTGCCCGCCCGTCGGGGCCGGGGAGGGGAGCCAGGCCGGCCGGCCGGCTCGGCAGGGCCGCGCGCGGGGGAGGGGCGGGCGCGCGAGAAGCCGCGAGGGGCAGGAGGGGCGCGCGGTCCGAGGCCGGGCTGGGGACGCGGCTCCACAGTGCTGTGAGCGGCCGGGAGGATTTACCGCCGCCGCCGCCGCTGGTGCACCTCCCGCCCGCCCGGGACGCTGCCGCCTCCTTCCCACAATGCACCCCGGCGTCCGGGGGTGCCCTCTCTTCCCTCAGCCTTCCTCCCCCGCCCTGCTTTGAGCCGATCTCTCCGCAGGCGGGCACGCGCAAGGAGGAGCGCCGGGGTGTGGCGAGGCCGAGGCGGAGGCGGGGCCTGGAGCACTGCGGAAGTGCGCATGCGAACAGCCTACCCCGCGAGGAGGGAATTGCGCATGCGGGTCAGTCTCCTGGGACTCTAAAGCTGGGTATTTTCCGGCCGCCGCGTAGATTTGTCGTGCGCGGGTTTCTGCAGCTCTGGGGCGAGCTTGCACGGTACATCATTTCTTCATCTCTCCTCTCTTGCTTAAATTGCCACCATTTAGGCGTCTATTGCGGAAATCGTCATAGACTCTTAAGAGCCGCGGAATTGGGACGTGCTTTGGAGACCGATTTGCCAACTCCCGACGGAGCTGGGTGTACGGGTTGGACGCAGATGTGGTTGTATGGGATTTAATTTTTCCCAGCTTTCCGTGTACTCTTTGGGCCCGTTAACTTCTCATATCTGGCCTCCTCGGCCTCGAGTAGACGCTAAAGGGCGAAAACTAAGGAAGGCTTTACTCCTTCCTCGTGAGGATTCCCGAGAAGAAAGAATAGCGACATGATTACGACTACAACATCATAGAGAGTGGTCCCTGTTTCTTCCCTCACAATTCTGGCCTGTTAACGCTCCTCGTTAGTGCCAAAATGAGTGACCGCTATTTAGAACAAAGGATTAGTATCAAATTTTGCGTGAAATTGAACAAGTCTGCAAGTGAGACCCACCATCTTTTAAAAGAAGCCTATGGGGATGAAGTAATGTCAAGGGCCCGAGTTTTTGACTGGCATAAAAGGTTTAAAGAAGGGCGGGAAGATGTTCGAGACAATGCACGAAGCGGTCGTCCAGTCACCCACAGGACAAATGAAAGCATACAGGTCAGGGACTTGGTTTCTTCAAACAGGCAGTTAACTGTGAGAATGATGGCTGAAGAATTAAATTTAGATAAGGAAACTGTTAGACTCATTCTGAAAGAAAACTTGAACATGAGGAAGGTTTCTGCCAAACTTACATCTGGTCTTATGAAAGATGAGCCTAAACCTGGAAAACTTGACTTTCGGTTTGACCTTTCAAAGGAAACTAGGAAAAATAGCTCATGTTTGAGGAAGAAGGTAGCAAATTCTGAAACATGGAGTCATCTGCAGGGTGAAGCTGGTGGGGAAATGACTCTGCCTTTACCACATCCCAGAATCCATTACCCTGCCAGCCAGCTTCTGCAGGGGTCATCTTCAGCAAGCCTTCCCACCAGAGTTGCTCAGGATTGGTTCACACCATGGTGAAAGAAACCAGAGGCAGCTGAACCTGAGCTAGCCAGCTGCCTGCATATTAGGCCCCTTCATCTGCTGCTCGTCTGCTTTCAGCTTCTCTACCACTCCTCCCCTGCCTGTTGTGGCTCTCTTGCTTATTCTATGCCGGGCTACTACACCTTCTTCCTTGCTCTTCTCCACCATTCTGGAGTGCTTTTGGCTGTTGACTTCTGGTGCTTGCTTGTCCTTGATTTCTTTTGCTTAACACATTTGGATCTCTTTACTGCTCCCACCTCAGCTTGTTATGGTTGTCCTCTTCCTTTGTGTTCATCATTCTGCCTCAGAGGATCATACCAGTGAAAAGTAGGGGTAGGCGCTTTTGGAGTCTCTATCTCTGTACCCAAGGAGACAAGCTCTTCTGGGAGGACCCCCCGGCCCCCCCACAAAAGATGGCCTCCAGTTTCATACTGCTTTGCAGTTAGGGCCTGAGGTATGGTACAGAGGGTAGTGGCATGCTGACATCTTGAGTGATGCTGGACCTAACGGTTGATCCAGTCCAAATGACTCAGTGGGAGCCACCAGAATGCAGGGGTTGGCCACTGATCTCACAGACCTTTCCCTTACAGAAGAACTAGGTTTGTTTCATTCTAGGCCTGTGCTATGAACTCCTACTTATTTGGGTGTCCCCTATACTGGAAGAGAAGGATCTGGCCTTAGAAAATATAAATGGATGACCCAGGCCAAGACTGATGTGTGAGGAGAAAGACCAGGTGAATTAAGTGAGTCTGGGGTCTATTACTGATTGCCACGTGGCATCCTGTTTTTAGTAACTAACACCAATACTGTTAGGTGTGTTTTGAGCACCTGCTGTTTTTAGACCACTGCTGGGCATCAACGATGTGAAATTACGAAATGAGATCACCAAGGGTGAATGGGCTTCATGGAGGAGGTGGTTCTTATACTAGATCCATGAAGAGGGTGAGACAAAGCACTATAAGATTATTGAAAACTTCCCTGGAGGTAGAATAGCATGAGGCTTGAGACCTGTGTCACTAGAAAATGATGGCACTAGTGGCTAAAATAGCAGTCTAAATGGGAAGAGAGAGCCAGGCTTGGTGGCATACACCTGTAGTCCCAGCACTTGGGATACTGAGGCAGGAGGATCTCAAGTTCAAGGCTTGCCTGGGTCACATAGTAAGAACCTCTCACAAAAAAATAAATAAAATGAAATGAAGGGGAAGGTAATGGTATGGCAGACTGAACAATTTGGGATACTCCTCTTCCTCAACCTTATGTCAGTAGTTTACAAATTGCTTCCCATGAGTCTGTGAATAGGTTTATAATAACTTGTCTAATTATCTGATTTTTCCACTGGACCCCAAAAAAGCCGTCTGTACAAGTTCAAACTATCTCTTCTGTTCCTGCCTCTTTGCCAGGATTTATAGAATAGAATTCTTCCCAAGTGGGTTCCAAGTAATACCACATAGACTTTAAACATTTCAGAATGCCTGATAAGGAGCAGGAGAAGGGGGAGGTAAACATTTCACAGCATTGGCCAATATCTGCATTTGACCCAAGGGTTATGGTACATAACAGCTCTTATTTAACAAATTGGGAAGTAAACTACTGATGGATAGAAGCTCAACACTTACTATATCAACACAGTTAACTTCTTTTATCATCTCTACTACTGTCTTCAAAAAAGCATAAGTTCCACACTAATCCCTGTCAGTTTTGGGACACCTTGAAAGCTGGACTTTGTCCCACAAAGAAAAGAGATTGTGTAAGAAAACTCTTAAACCCAGCAGCAACTTTCCACCTACTTAGCAGTTTCAGACATTCTGTTTCACTACTTTGTCTTCCTATATCAGATGAGGTGCTGGTTTCCTTGCAAGCACCTGCCACCAGAGCACTCTACTTCAGGAAAAAAGTCCCCACAGCAACCTGTTGCAGTAGGTGATCAGGAGAGTGAATTCTTAACTTACTACCTTAGAGCATGCTCCAAGTAATTGGTTGAACTACCACTTGAACCCAGGGCAAGGCTTCCCAGAAAATATTTGGTGATAGTAGGATGCTTCAGATTTAGGGGAAGTTAAGTTATTGCCCTAATATCCATTTAGAGCATAGCTGCTCAGAATTACTAAGCCCAAGGCTAGAGCTGAGATCTTAGGAGTACTCTTAAACTGGAGAGTTCTGCTATAACAGTGCTCCTATGTACCATCCATCAAATCACATTATTATTGTTCCAAGTTTTGCCCTGGTCTGCACCTTGCTTCCCAAGCATCTTGAGTTCCTGGTCCTATAGTCTCAGATCAAGCCCCAGCTCACACCTCAGCCTCTTGGGCTTGGCTGTCATTTCTCTCAATTTATTCTCCACCAGTTTGCTGTCCATTCTCTGATTCCAAATGTTTTGTTTTCTGGTTCTGAACCACACCTCCAAGAGCTGCTCTTAGTCCCCATTGGTACGCTGATTATTGAATTACCATTTTGGTCATGGTTTACACCTGCCTCACAACTCTTCTCCCCTCTGATTTTTGGATCTTTCCTAATTCTTGACTTTAGCCATGGTCCCATTAGAGCAAAAATACCCTGCTGTGCTCCAATTTGTCAAGGAAGCAATTTGGTTACATCTGATCCTTAGAGTCATAAAACCTTTTCAGAGCTATAACATCCAAATCCCATTCTCCCAACAAAAGTATTTTCCCTGGCAAGAGACATGCTACCTAAATACAGGAGATCAAGCCTAGCTTTCTGTGGGATGTCAAGAGGAGAGGTGGACATCTGCAAACCTTGACTAGTTCACAAGCTTAACACAGCCAGTGAATCTCTTTCCTCTCAGGCTGATCTTCTGCCCCACATCCACCCTCATTCCCATACTCGTTCAAAGTCCGCGTGGGATGTTATTTGCCACAGCTGAAAGCCTAGGAGGAATAGATAACTCCTATGGTAGATTGTCCCATTGATTTATCAAATCCTTTCCTGTATTCCATCACCCATTTTGTTCCATATTTTCCCCATTAGTAGTAATCAAAAAGAGAAAAAATGTTCACTGAATCTTTAACTTAGAAAAACATGAGGATGGTTCTGTAGTTGTTGAATTCTGCCTCTGAGTATTGAATTTTTTTTTGTTCTTGTTGGTACTGGGGTTTGAACTCAGGGCTTTGCTCTTGCTTAGAGAATTGGGTAATGCATGCCTGTAATCCTAGCATTTGGAAGGCTGAGGCAGAAGAATTCCAAGTTTGAGGTCAGCCTAGGCTAAGTAGGGAGACCCTGTGTCAAAGGGGAAAAGAAAGAAAGAAAGGCTATCATTGAGAAGAATGTGTACCTGGGGCCTACTTTCCAGACCCTTCCTTTCAGATCCATTTCTTAATCAAAATCCACATTTGTGTGCAAATGCCTGGATAAACATGGATGTAATATGACTTGAGGACACTTGGTAAAGGAGTGGAGTATTATTAGGGAACTGTTACACATATTGCTGTTTGCCTGCTATTTGCAGATACCATCACCAGCATGTCTGACTAGGCTCTCATTAGGGTCCCATGTTGCTTAATTTGTAAGAGCCTCCCTTGGCTTCTGAAATGAATGTTGCTCTGCATTCTCTAACTGCTGCTTTAGTTGGATTTTTGTAAGCTTTTACACCCGATCTGAGGCAGTCCTCATGGATTTATGATCTCTAGTCTCTGCCTTATCAGACCATTGCAAATACTGTGCAAGGTACATCACAGTATTATTATTCACAAACAATCTAGTGGGACACTTCAGTACCTCCAAAGGGCCACTTGGGTCTAACGCACAGGTCAGCAGACTTCTATAAAGGATAACCCTAGGCTTTATGGGCCATATGGTCTCTATCACAACTACTCAACATTTTAGCATAAAAGCAGATAGCTAATTTGGAAATAGGAGCATGACTGTATTCCAATCAAACTTTATAAATGGATACTGGAATTTGAATTTTGTTTAATTTTCACAAACTATTTTGACTTTTTCCCAACCATTAAAAATGTAAAAACAAAAACAAATATTCTTAGCTTGTGGGCCACAGAAAAACAGGTGGTGGACCAGATTTGCCCATGGCCCATAGCTTGCCTGCACTTAATCTAGTGTATGTAAAGTGTGTATAAAAATGACGGATGATTGATTGTTTTCCATCAGTAACACTGCCAATGCCAAGGCAATCTGGCAGTACCTCACAAGTTACTATACAGAAATTGTGGAATACTGGAAAGAATCTTTATAAGAGTGAACTAGAGCTGAATGGTTGGCTATTTCATCTTGACCATATTCTGGTTCACAAGTGAATTTTGTGCTGTGTTTGACTAAAAAGTCATATTACACAATCTACTACCTATGTTATTCTAATAAAATATCTTGAAATTTATTTTGGCAATCCTTAAAATGATGCCAAGTTGCAAGCAGCAATATTAAAATGAACTAACGGTAGTTCCAAAAAATGCCTTCACCATGGGCATTTGACTAACTTTATGTTATCATCTATTATAGTGTGTGCTATGGAGGTGACAAAACTCATGAAGTATATTTTGTATACACACACACATGCAACATGTATGCACACCCACGCATACCTTTAGGTGAGTCTGCTTATCTTTTTACTGTCACTTTGTTTAAGCTGATTTTCCAAAGTTGTAACAGAATTTCAGGATTGGACAAAATTTTACAAGGGTGGCTGATTAACTTGTCTGTTTCCCCTGAATAAGGAGTGACTAAACCTTACAGAGGCTGAAAGACCATTTGAAAGATTCCGTGTTAATTCACTGAACAGATGTTTACTGTGTGGCAGTGTGTGCCATGCACTGACCTGTGTGCTAACAGACAGCAATGGACAAAACAGACCCAAGTCCTAGAATTGACAAATCTGAAATCTAATCATATCATTCTTTGCTCTTGCAAGACTGTTCTGTGTGCTCACACTAAGTCATTGTTACCTGTGTACCTGGAAATAGGTATGACCTTTGTTATGTTCCCTCACGCTGTGGTCATGATGCCTCCAACTGCATTAATAATTCCAGGACTGTATGTTCCACTTGTGTTTTATTATCCTTTCCACAGATCTGCATTGGTATAAAAACATACTGGCAGCATTGGAAGTGTAAGTTGGCAATAGTTTTCTGAAAAGGCAATTTGGCGGTATCTATTAGGAGCTTTAAGAGTATTTATGTCCTCTGATCCTCTAATTCCACTTCTGGAAATCTGTCCTAAAGAAACAGTTTAAAATGTGGACCAAATTTATGCTTAATAATCTAAAAGTCCAACCATAGAAAATTGGTTAAGTAAATTACAGTATGACTATACAATAGATTAGTGTGCAGTCATCATGATGAATGTTAATGAAGAGTATTTAACAGAATGGCAAAAATGGTCATAAAATTTGGTGAAAAGAGTGATACAAAATTGTATATATGAATCCAAAAAGTGGTGTTTTTAAATGACTAGAAAATGCATGCTAACTCTGATTTGTTGAATTATGGGTATTTTAAATTTTCCTGATTTTATGCTTTTAAAATATATTTCTACAAACTATTACTGTTTTTATTATCAGTATAAAATAATATCAAAACTTGGCAGTGGAGAGATTGAGGCCAAATCACTGCTTTGGTGATGTGTTGGTGGCAAGAATGAGACAGAAGGGAAAAAGACCTGCCCCAGAGAAGAAGGGATGGGACCAGAATTCCTACAAAAACACCAAAGTGTTTATGAGAAGACACCATGAATGACATGCTACTATTATGTGGTCCTAGGTAGGTAAAAGACAACTTAAGGATCAAGTATATTCTAACAAATGGAAAAGGATAGGAAATTCTCTCCCAGGTAAAATTAACTTCCTTTGGATTTCACTGTCACACAAAGTAAATTCTTAAGATGGATTTTATTACAGTTGATTCTCTAAAGGATCTGTGAGCTTTCCATATAATTTCTTTAGGAATACCTTTCAATGTGCAAGTCTACCTCCTTTTGTACTGGCACACTCAAGCACATGGATGTACACTGGAACATTTGGTGCCCTACATTGAGAATACTACATGCAAATCATTAGTCATCTGAATGTTGTAACTTACAAAATTTAAGATTTGCAAGTGTTATTTTGTTGTCACCTAGAATTACTATACTTACATCTGAAGAGTAATCATGTTGTAGGATTTTAAAGTGACAAATTATGTAGCTAATGCCTACCCATATGAAATTGTTATATGGGGGAAATGGGTATTTAATTGCTACTTTAGTAAAATGATTAACATTAAAATGTTAAATGATCTCCCTGGTGAAAACCTTTCAAGCCTTGAAATGCGTATACAAGGTAAAATCCATGTTTGTAGACATACAGATTTGTCAACCTGGATGAACTCTTCGAGATATAACTGTAAATCTCTGGTCTATAGAAAGAACAAAAGCAAGACTTGAATTTTTGTTCTAACTTCTTAGCTAGCTATGTGACTGGGCAGTTGATTTGTACCCTCTTAGTGCCTCGGTTTACTCATCTATAAGAAGACAATAATATCTATCTCATAGTGTTGTTCATTTTTTTCATTCAACAAATATTTTTGAGTGGTTACATGTGTCTGACACTGTTCCAGACATAGAATATAGCAATAAACAAGAAAAAAATATTTCTTCATATGGGCACACATTTAAGTGAAGGATAGAGATAAAGAGTAAGAGAAAATGAGTCAAAATAAAGTATTACATGTGAGACTTACATTAATATTTTATATATATATGTATATATGCACAAGTCCTGGCATTCAGTAAGAGCTCCAATAGACAGTCTTCCTGACAGCTCCTGGCCTACTCTCCAAGGTGTTAATCAGCAAAAGGCCTGACCCACTATTGCCTTGCATCTCCTGCTAGTTCATAAGGCCCGAGTCTGTTTTTGCTTAAGAAGACAAACAAATTTTTTAGAGGTTAATTGCTTTCTTATTGAATTACATTGTAAAGTTTACATCTACAATTTAATCAGGAAGAAATGTTTTGCCTTTACCTCAAGGACACATTTACTCTAGTGAAATAAAACAGACACAGACAAAAGATCAAGTGCCTATTTTTTTTTTTTAAATGACTGCATGTTTTACCAGGTCCTACTTTTGCTGTTTTGGACCATACTTTTCCTGTTAGAGAACTGACCTGATAAATCAGAACTGAGTCTGATTTATCTTCCCACAGTTTTAAACATTAACTGGAGCTTCTCACAACTTCTATGTACAAAAGAAATACTGAAAACAATATAGGGAACAAAGTGGCAAATGAACCTTTATAGTTATGTTTTGTACTTCCTGTATGACAGATTGATCAAGGTGGTACCTAAATACTGTTATAAATGGCCTTTTCTAGAGTCAGTTGGCAGGAGTCCTTATGTGGGGCTGGATGGCAGGTGTTAGATCCACAAAGACAGATGCATAGTGTCATTGCTTTGTAAGCATAACAAACTAGAAAATTTTTAATGACTGTTTTCTTAAAGAAAAACCCTGTGCCCTGTATCCTGTGCCAGACATTGGCAAACTTAGTAAATTTGCAGTGTTAGAAAGGGACTGGTTAATGCATTATTTATGAGAGATCAGGGCATTGACAAGAAGCCAGGAAAAAGAGGGTTTAACGGTTGTGGCTTGTTAATATTTTTGCTCATGGTAGAAAATTTGGAAAGTTCAGAAATGCTTAAAGAAACACCAGAAGTTCACCCCTAGTGAACATTTCCCAGACCCATCTCTTTGCCTCAGCTTCCTCCTTCAAAAATACCCAGAGGACAATCATTTACTGAATTCCTTCTTTGGGTCTGGCCTGTGCTAGACACAGAGGGCACAACCCTTGCCCTTAGCCAGTGCCCTGCTCTGTGGGATTGGGGGAAGAAGGGTGAGATGTGAAAGATACACCAAGAATGGGCTCCTGAACCTTAGACTCTCAATATTTCCCAGAAGACAGCAATGAGGACCAAGAGTTTGTAAGGAATTTGGAGCAAAAAGTTGGAATGATCACAGTTAGGGTGGTTGTAGAAATGAGAAAGCAGGGTATGAAGAAGCCAAATGCACAGCACAATGGTAATCAGCCAGTTGGCTGGGACATGCTTAGCTCCTCTTCTGTAGAAGGGCCCTATGGCTGTCCACAGGGTTTGGTTTGGAATATTAGTTCTCAAAGCAACTGGGCATTAGGCTGTGGGCCAGTCCCCGTACCTTGCTTTAAGTACCTAATAAGTGAAAATTCAGAATTACAACTCAGAGTAGCTGAGGAAATTGGCCCAGCAAGGTTGAGTGACTTTTTTTGAATCACACATCTAGCTAGTGGCAGAGGAAGGATAATAATGAAGGATCCTGAACCTCAATAAATTCAGGGTTTTTATCTACTATGTAATTGATAATAATTTTCTTTACTAAAATGTTCTTCCCCCTCTCAATACTTATAGGGGATTGAACCCAGGGCCTCGTTTTGCTAGAAAGCACTTGACCCACATCCCCAACCCTTTTGTTTTTTGAGACAGGTTCTTGATAACTTTGCTTGAGCTAGCCTTAAACTTGAAACCGTCCTGTCTCTACCTCCTGAGTAGCCAGGCTTACAGGTGTGCACCACTAGGTCCAGCTAAAGTGCTCATTCCTAACATATCTTTTAAACGTTGTTCACCCTTGAATTTAACAAATGATTTACCAACAGTTCACTTATATACAATTTTAAAGGAACATATTTATAGCATAGAACATGGTGCAGAGGGTTTTTCTGCATTTCCCTGTGGTGTCCAGGTCCCCTGGTCCTTCTCTTCTTCCAGAGGTGTGTATTCATAAGTAAATGTTGGCATTCTGACATTCATTTTTTCCAGATGTTCTTCCCAAGTAATGTGCTATTTTTGTGTTTTTAATATTTCTCATATACATTTTAAAGAACTGGGCACATAAATCTTAATAAAGCTCTCATCTATCTCCTCTGTGCTGTCTCAAATTTCTGAGTGTGTTTATATTCATGACACACTGTCTGAAGTCATGAACGCTCTCCTGTAATTAGGGCTTATATCCCTAAAGCCCAGTCTTGTATTTCTACATGTTTTGAAAATTCTTTACACTTCACTTGTAAATGCCACTATATTGTGCTATGACATTTCCATAGTAACATACATTTCAAACAGGAAAACAGAAAAGTCCGAGGAAAAGAGAAGTTTCAAGTATGGGAGGGAGAGGAGCAAGGAGAGGAGAGGAATAAAGAGAAGGAGATAGTGGAGAGGGAGAGAGGAGCAGAGAGAGAGAGGGGAGGAAAAAAGGGAAGGAAGGAAGGAGAAAGAACAAGGAAGGAAGGAGAAAGAAGAAGGAAGGAAGGAAAGAAAAAGAATGAACAGAAGGAGAGACGATGGGGGCAATGTAAATAATATATAATATAAGACTAATCAGAATTGTCACTACAAATCCCCTCCCCCATAACGAATCTATCCTAATAAAAATTTTGTACTAGAAAAGAAAGAGAAGAAAAAAGAGATGGAGTGAGAGGAATAGGATAAGGGGGTTAAATATTCTAGTCTAAACTGATGTGTCCTAAGAGCAGAATGTCCTGTATGCCCGTGGCAGGGACTGGCTGAATCCACCATGCACCAAGTAACCAGCTTGGAATCATACCTTCATTGGCCCTCATACCCTGGTAGGTCCGTGTCATTCCTTTGCCATTTCTGTTGGTACTTATTCCACCTCTCATCCCACTGTCCTAACATGCAATGTGATGTTTGCTTTGGAGTTTGCTAAAAACCAGAGACATGGACACCAATTTTTTGAGCTTGCCAGCCACACCCTCTCCCTGGAATTCCTTCCTGCGGCCAGCCCCCTGGTGTACTCCTGCTCTGCCCTCAAGCCTTGGCCTTGCTATTGCTGTTCTTCCCATCTCTCACACCCACTGGTAAAGCAACCACTACCAGTGTCCAATACTCATTTTTTTTTTTTTGGCAGTACTGGGGTTTGAACTCAGGGCCTCCTGCTTGCTAGGGAGGTACTGCTACTTGAGCCACTCTGCCAGCCCCTAGTACACTTTGTTATGTCAAAGAGACTGTAACACTTATTGAACATAATGTTTGCAGAGTGCACTTTCTCCCCTACTATTAGAACTCAAAAACCAACCACATCTGATTCTTTGTATTCCCGGCATCCAGGGTTAATCTTGCCTGGAATTACTCAATAAATGTCTGATGGATGAATGAGAAAAGGAACTTTTAATGTAACTGCTTTTTTATTGTGGTAAAATTCATATAACAAGATTTACCATTTTATCCATTTAAAATACACATTTTAATGGCATTTAATATATCCACAATGTCACACAACCATCTACAAAATGTAATTCCGGAATGCTTTCATTAGGAGACATCATGCCCATCAGGCAGTCACTACCGACCTCTGGCAACCATTTATCAACTTTCTCTATTGTTTTGCCTATGGTGGAAGTTTCATATAAATGGAAGTATAACAACATGTGGCCTTTTGTGTTTGGCTTCTTTCATTTGAGGTGATGTTTTCAAAATTCATCCATATTGCAGTATGTGCCAATACTTCATCCCTGCCGGGCTCCAGGGGTTCACACCTGTGATCCAAGCTACTCAGGAGGCAGGGATCAAGTGAACCACAGTTCAAAGCCAGCCTGGGCAAATAGTTCGCAAAACCCACCTCTAAAAAGCCCATCACAAATAAAAAGGGTTGCTGGAGTGGCTCAAGGTTTAAGCCCTGAGGCTCAAGTGCTAGTACTGAAAAAAAAAAATTCATCCTTTTTAAGGGTGAATAATACTGAATTTTGTTTATTCCATGATATACCATATTTTGTTTACTCATTCATCCATTGAATGATATTTTGAATTGTTTCCATTTTTGATTATTGTGAAGAGTGCTGCTATGAACATATATGTACAAGTTTTGTTTGCATTTCTTATACCTAACAGTGGAATTGCTTGATCATATGGTAACCATATTGAGGAAGTTCCAGACTATTTTTCACAGCAACTGCACCATCTTACATTCCTACCAGTGATGTATGAGGTGAAAGTTCCAGTTTCTCCATATTCTCCCAACACTTGTTATTTTCCTTTATTTCTATTTATTGATTTATTTTGGGGGGAAGTGGGGTTTGAACTCAGGACTTTGAGTGGAACTGCTTAACCCACACCTTCAGCCCATTTTAGTCTGGTTATTTTGGATATGGGGTCTCACGAACTATTTGGGCTGGCCTTGAACCATGACCCTCCAACGTCAGCCTCCTAAGTAGCTAGGATTACGTAAAGGCATGAGTCACCAGTTCCTGGCTATTTTCCTTTATTTTCATTATACCCATCCTAGTGAATGTGAAGTGAGAGCTCCTTGTCTTTTGATTTGCCTTTCTCTAATGACTAGTGATGGTCAGCATCTTTTCATGTGCTTATTGGTCATGGGTATATCTTCTTTGGAGAATATTCTATTCTTGTTGAACTCTAAGAGGGTTTTTTGTTGTTCTTTGTTTGTTTTTTAAACTCAGGGCCTCACATTTGTTAGGCCATGTGAGCTATGCCCCCAGCCCTTTCTGCTTTAGTTCTTGTTTTTCAGATAGGCTCTTATGGTTTTGCTGAGCTGGCTTTGCATGGTGATCCTCCTATGTCCATCCCCTGAGTAGTTGGGATTATAGACATGTACCAGCATTCTCAGCCTGTAGCAATTCTTTATATATTCTGCTTATGAAACTTACTACATCATTCACAAATAATTTCTCTCATTTTGTGAATTTTCTCACTTTCTTGATAATGTCCTTTGAGGCAAAAAAGTTTTTAATTTTAATGAAGTCCAAGAATTCTATAGTTTTAACTCTTAGATTTAGGTCTTTGATCCCTTTTGAATTTTTCTGTATATGGTGTGAGCTAAGTGTCCAACTTTGTTCTTTTTGCATGTACAAATCCAGTAGCCAAAACACCACTTGTTGAAAAACCTATTCTATCTCCATTGTGGCATTTACTTTTGAAATATATTTTTAAATTATAAATGGACAGGTTTATTTTTCTTTCTGTAAAGATTTTGTTCCACTGTCTTTTGGCTTGCATTGTTTCTGATGAAATGTCTATATGATATTTATCTTTGTTTTTCTATAATTAGGCTACTTGAACTTACTCCACTGCTAATGATGTTCTATTCAATTTTGTCTGTCTGTCCTCCTTTTTTTGTGTGTGTGGTCCTGGGTCTTGAACCTAGGGCCTTGCACCTGCTGGGCAAGTGCTCTACCAGTTGAGTTATGTCCCCAGCCATGTCTTCTTTTTTTTTTTTTTATCACTTGGTATAACTTCTATTAGTGTATCTCCAAGTTCACTAATCTTTTACTCTGAATGTCTAATCTATTTTTATTCTATTTTATATATTTTTTCATCTCAAATACTGTAGTTTCCATTTCTAGAATTTTGAATGAAATTTAGTCTAAATTTTTAATTTTAGAATAATTTTAAATTTACAGAAAAGTTGCAAAGGTAGTATAGCTCAGAGATAGAACATATGAAGGCCCTCCTGGGTTCAATCCCCACCACACACAAAAAAAGTTAATACAGAGCATTCCTATAACCCCTCATCCAGTTCAGGAATCATAACAATATGTGGCCTTTTATGTCTGGCACTCTACAGAGAAAATCCACAAGGCTTGGCACCAGGGCAGGGGGACTTTCAAAGCTGAGAAACTTAAGTGTGGAAGCACAAAGAAAAAACCCTAGTGGTTGTATTGTTCAAATCTTATATAGTCTTAATATTTTGTCAACTTACTCTATCAGTTACCTAGGGAAGTATGTTAAAATCCCCCACTATGTGTATATATGTGTGTATATGTATGTGTAATGAGTGTGTATGTGTTAATTTACACACAGATCCTGTTGGTTCTTTTTCTCTGGAGAATCCTAATATAGCCAATATATATATGTGCATGCACACACACACACACATATATTCATATATATATTTTCTTAGTGTATAATAATTGTACAAAATGGGTTCCACGTGACATTTTCATAAACACACATAATGTACTTTGATCATATTTACTCCCTATTACTCTTCTTTATTCCCTCCACCAGTCATGATAGTTACCATAATAACTTCCTATCATTCCCCTATTAAACTCTTTTGGAACTTCTATTAGACATATGCCTGACTTTCTGGGGATTGAGATGTGGACATTTTTGAAGGATCATTATTATTATTTTCTATTGTGCTGGGTAGGGATACACTGTGGCATTTACAAAAGTTCTTACAATATATCAGATATATCATAGTTGAATTCACTCCTTCCATCCTTCTCCTTTATCTTCCCCTCCTCCCATTCCTGGAATAGTTTCAACAGGTCTCATTTTTCCATTTATGTATATGTGCACACATGTACTTGCACTGTATTCACCCTTCTACACCATTTCCTAACATTCCCCTCCACTTATCCTACCTCCTCCCCCCTGTAATCTTCATATATACTAACCTCTTTTTTTTTGTATTTTCTTTTTATATATATACTAATCTCTTATTCGGTTTTTTTTTTTACTCCATTTCAAGTGATTTCCTTAAATATTTCTGTATTTCTTCTAAGTTAAGAAGAAAGAACTTCTTTTTTTTTTTTTCTTTTGTGGTACTGGATTAAACCCAGGGCCTCACTCATGCTAGGCAAGTGCTCTACCACTTAAGCCACACACCCCAGCTCTTTTGGTTTGTATATTTGAGATAGGGTCTGTCTAACTTTACCCAGGCTGGCCTTGAACTTGTAATTCTCTTGCCTCTGCCTCCTGTGTAGCTGGGATTACAGGAGTGTGCCACTACACC